TCTGTGCTGAAAGGACCAGTTTAAGATTTTCAATAAGCTGCAGAACTTGCTACATCAGGTGTGACTTTAGGCAAACATTTTTTCAGTGCAGAACCAGGGTCTTGTCTTGCCCTTTGGTTTTCCATGGGGGTTTATAAACAGCCTTGAGACCACTGAAACAATTTACGTTTTCAATGTTAGCAACATCTGTGACTACTGGTAAGATGCAGGAAATGAGAATTGCCCCTTGTTTTATACCACATCTGGCAACACCAGGTTATGATCTTGCTAGCAGTGTCCAGATAATAAAACAGGGGAATAAAACCATTGTGGAAGAGTGAGGCTGTGCAAACACAACCATGCCACGTGGGTGCACAACCCCTAGCTGGTGCTATGCAAGGGTACTAAACGTCTCCTAAATTCCCTCTCCACCATCCAACTCTGAAAACAGGATTTCAAGACCACAAACACCATAACAAAGACAACCACAGAACACTTGTAATAACAGGATCTGATGCAGGCTATCCCCAAGATACATTTTCAGCAGTTCATGGGCCTGTCCAGAGTTATTTTTAATACCGTATTCAGGAAGAAATTTAAAAAGTTGAACTCCATGGGCTTAAAGTATTTAAATCTCCACTGCTTCTAATAGATGACTCCAAGAGCAACTCATACCCACAAAGCCCAGGGAGACACCAGAAAACAACAGTATTTTTGATCATTATTTCTTTTTTAGGAAAGCAAAGAAAGGAAAAAGAAAGCATTACCTATACAACACAGCGACTAAATAAACAACGAGGTGAAGCAAAAATCCAACTACGACACCATAAGGAGGCAGGAGGGGTCCAGGGGTTGTCATGTCCGTGGGCCTGGCCCTTGGTGGACCCCGAGGGTTGACCATGACCCCTGAGGGGGAGGAAGGAGTGCTCTAGCTCTAAGTCAGACAGCAATATTCTCCAACCTTTGCCAGAAAGGATCGTAGTCTTCATCTTCCCTGGAGCGGTTCCTGGGACTTCTGTTTTTTAACACCCTGAAGTAGAGTAACTGTGCAGCAAAATTCATTGTAACTCCTGTTGCAAAGAAAGGCTGGGAGACTGCGGGCAGGGGACACACTTGCCTGTGAGAAGTGCCAGCCCTGCAGTGCCTGGGTGGGAAATAGCAGCAATGTGTGGTAAGCAGCTCTCCAGGGCAGGCTGGGGGAGAGGTGGCTGCTGCTATTTAAAGAGATTATTTCACAGGCCAACCTGTCCTTCTCAATTTGAGTCAGGGCCTGGATTATGCTTGGGTGACGCTCTGTTAGCAGGACACTTGAAGCTTTAGTTACTTACTGCGTAGCTGTGGAGCAGGATCTAGGCCTGCTGCAGGGCCCGTGCCTGGACGGCAGGCACTCAGGGAGGCAGCAAGGAGGGGACGGATGCGCTTTGTGGTGGCTGTGTCACCTGCACGGACCCTTTAAGGCAGCACCAAGGGACACAGATCTTTGTGACCGAGGCTCAGAGGAGACAATTACTTTGTTCAGGTCTTCTCTTGGAGGAAGTCCTTGTAGCAGAAAAACAGATATACAGATAGAAAAGATCACCTAAGGAAAAGACTGCAGCAAAAGACATAAAAAAAATCATCTAAATCTGTTCCTCATTGCCCTTAGAGAGCATTATCAAAGGCAGTGCCATCTTTCCAGATGCACTATGGTTGTACAGTGGGGATGGGAGCAGGTGGTCCTTCTGTGGTTCCTCTCCTCTGGAATACAACCCTAGTGGAGTGCAGGCTTCAGGCTGTTTGGAAACAGACCAGGTGTCCCTTTCCAGGTCTCAGTCGTCCCTTAGTACCCTCTGCTTTCTGTTGTTAGTGTATAAAGTCATAACCTCCAAGACAGAGAACAGGCACAACAAAAAATCTATCCCGGGTTGTAACCTAACCCTTCCCACAGAGTACCGTGAGAAATACTGTAAACCGTTTTATATGGGAGAGTCAGAATAAATGATCAAATAGTCTTCTGGGATCTCTAGGAAATGGAACTGTGCTGGTGGAGCCTTCTCTGCACTGGTGTCACAGACAGGTTCAAACTGCCCTGACTTGATCAGTACAGATGAAGCTCCAGATTCAGTTTTTCCTCTGTTTGACCCAAACCACTTTACCCTTCCCTTTCCAGGCAGTGGATGTGCAGGCTGTGGAGGTGGCATGTGCTACACATGGCCACAAGCCAGCAGCATGCTGTTGCCAGAAATGAAGAGACAAAAAAGCAGTTGGCTGCTACCAGCACTTGCAGCTCTAAGTCAGAGTGAAGTTCAGGCCAACTTCACCAGTGCCTTGAAGCACAGAGAGAAGGTGGGTATAGTTATTAGTTTGCTTATAACACAACTGAAGTGCAATGGTGAGCAGGAAAGGGAATTTAAAAGCAGTGAAAATCACAATGCCCAACTTCCACATGACTGGGAGCACAGAGCCATGTGCTTGAGTCTTGACATGAATTCTGCTCCCCACAAAATGGGGCTCTGAGCTGTGATCAGCACTTGCAGACCATGCAAAACCAGTAAAAGGATTTTTGGGACCACTTGGTCAAGCAGTTGGAAACAAATTTACAATGCTGTTTCAGGAGAGAAGTACCTGAGGCACTGAATTGCTATCCTTCTAAAGCACTCCCAAAAAAGTAGCCCACTAGGGAAAAGGAAATTTGGAAATTCCTGCTGTAGATTTACACACATGACAAACATTAATTCAAAGCCCTGACCTAAGTGTGCTGGAAACGCAGACTGTGCAGTGTCTTAGAAAGTACTGCATCACTGGTAATTGCTGGAAATTAACTATGACCATTTTCTGAGCTGCTTATTTTCTTAATGAGAGATAAACAGTTAAACACACTATTATTAGATGTGTCTTCTTTTCATTCTTGTCTGTCAAACTTCATTGTCCTTACAAGCCTCTTACACTGTGTTCACCACTTTACGCATCCACCTTCACTGTCCATGCCCACAGGCTGTGCAGCAGTCCTGCTTCCTCTTTCCAGAGCAATTGGATTTTGCCATCTTTCACAGGCACAGGTTTCTGAGTATCTGTGTGTCTTCTCTAAGACATCTCTGTTGTTACTGGAATCCTTCAAATAACTCGGCTACCTTCATCTGGCAAGTTAATCTGGTCTCCTACATCTTCCTAAGATCCTTCTTCAGGAAATGCTTATTTACTTAATTTAACTAAATCAATTAGTAGTAGGAGGTGGTAGATCTGCTTCTGCTGTCCGAGAACCAGGACTCTCCAGCAGAAGGTAACACCCCCAATAAATGACTTGGGGACAATCTCACCTCAGAATACTTATGCTTGAGATGAACCTAAGTACATATTTTATGCTTTTTGATTTAAGGTTAAATACACTTGAACTAGATTAACCCCTAGACAAACAGCTATGACAAAAGCAGTATGATGGAGCCTACAGCTCCATCCTGATTTCTTTGCCTTTTCAGACATTTTCCAAGCTGAGGACTGTGATTGTTAGAGAGGCATTACACTGCGGATGCAAGCAGTGACAGCCATAGCAGCAGGGTGTCACACAGCCTCCTTCCCACTGCCACCAAGAGCACCTGGCCAGCTGTGGGGAAGGAATCCAACACCTGTTACCTACGGTGCTGTCTACTTCATTTAAAACAAAAGGCACACTGGACATGGTAGACAGCTTATGCATTTGGACTAGATGGTGATAAAGGCTACATCCTATTAGTGATTGTCATTGATAACTCCTTCCTTTGGTGGGGGTTAGGGGGGTGTTGCGGGGGCAGTGAGGATAAGTAATTACATTGCTGGTATGGTCAAGTGAAACCCAACACAACTGCCATGAAACTGTCAAGGACAAGGTGAAGTTACAGGTTTTCCTCAGATCAGATCACATCTCTTTTTAAATCTAGAGTTTCAGACCTCCTCCCAGCTGCTCTTCGGTGGGTCCTAAGGGAAGAAACCCAGCCCCTCAGTGCTGTACAGCCTTCCAGAGGTTTCATTTACATCTTACATACTGCCATCACTCACAATGTTTGTGTTCGTGTAAAGAAATTATTATTTACACATCTGCACAGCTTTAGACATACCCAACTGAGACATCAGTAAAATCAGTCTCTTCCATGGTCACCATATACATCTGAAATGACAGTTATTGAGAAGCGCTTTTTTCCACGCTATCATATAATATAATTTAGATAATGTGTTAAGATAATGAGTCCAAAGAAAACAAAACAAAACAAAAACCCCAAGACTTCAACCAAGGGACAGAATTGAAATTCTGTGCTGCTGTGCTAGCATGTAAGATCGAAGACTAGGACTGGAAAGAAGTGGAAAATCCAAGTCCCAGAATAACAGTTTTACATTAATTAGGCTGTATATGACTGCCTGCTTTACTCCCTCAGTCCCTGGCATGAAAGCCTTTAAAAGATAGCATAATGTGGAAAATAACAACTGGGATTTTTTCTGGAAAATCATCTAAACAAAGTTATGCTCTTTATCTGAAACCTGAGAAATAAAATAGGACCATTTTGCTGTGAAAATGGAAAACAGTGCTTCATTCTCTTGTAACCAGAGAGAACAAAGTTTGGACAGCACTGGGAAAAATAGCTGTTTCCATTGCAAATAAAGACTTCATTGAATTACACGACTTGAAAGATGGTTTTGAAAGGTTAGCCAAGTTTTTCCCCATACTAAATAAAATTAATAACATTTCCAACCCCAGTGAGAACATCATGGGTGGGAAGTGATAGTCTATCCAAAGCAGAGAATTCTTTGCAGAATTTGATCAGTTGCAGAAGGGAAGAGGGTGGAGATAGTCTGCAGTTAAGCCAAGAAAAACAATAGAAGTTTTTCAGAGAGTAGCAACAAAAACCCCCAAAAAGATAATTTAGGATTATGCAATGCATCAATGCAAATGTGGTGGTGAACCACTATAATAATTTAAAAGGATAAATAAATATAGACAACTCAAGAAGAATCAGCATTTAAAAATAGAAATAAGGAACAGATACCAAAGAGCTTCACATTTCCTTGTAATTTAACATACTAATTTAACTTCCATCTCAGTTTCTGCATAAAACAGTATTTATAATGCAGACCAGAGTTTCAGCCGCTACTGCTGCTATTTGTCAGATAGAAAGTGACCTATAATAGTTGCATTGAACACATGCAATGAGTCATCTCTCCGTCTTCCATGTTTTCTATCCTCTCATCTTCTACTTCCTCTTTTCTCAATATTAGTAAAGACCTTAGATAGTCACTGCTGCGAAAGAGAAAATTATCCCTTCATTATTGTGTAGATGCTAATGTTCGTATTTGTTATCTTTAGGGACCTGAGAAAAGACTGATAAGGTAGATTGAAATCAATGAAAACAGATCTAGTGTCCTCAAGGTATATTTTGTAGTGTCTGAGAGAAAGAACGGGCACCAATTCAAAGAACATTAATTGCTGGCATAGGAGACTAGAGGGAAGCTTGGGTGTGTTTTGAGTTAAGTTACTATGTGGGACAGACCGTATCTGCTTATCAGGTAAGTGTTTTGCAGAAAGGGTGAGATATTTCTCAAAAAGCTCTCAAAGAGTAAAACTTTACATTGGAGGTCCAAAATATGTCTCCTCAGTATAGTATTTATATCCATAACAGGTCTAATTGTAAGATGTCGAACAATCACATTTCAATAGCTGAACAGAACTGGGAACTCCAGCTGTGCTGTTAGAAAAAAAATGCACATTCCCTACTCTTGAGACTAAATAACTGATTAGAACCAGCAAAATATTTTGCATTGCTATTTGGAATATTTAGCTCTGTGATATCCTACTTATCTCAATTTCAAATTGTGGGCTAACGTTGCAGAGACTGCTAATTAGCATTGCAGATGCATGGAAGTATACAATAATCTATTTGAATTCACCTCACAATTATATGAATTATCAAAGACTGTATCTAGGTATCTTTGGGTAAGATGAGATGCCTTATGTTATCACCAACTCCAGGTTTTTTGTCCTTCTGGATCTAAAGCACTGGCTATGCAGTTGTGTTCACAACAAAGGAGAAGTGCAGTGGCTGAGGCCCATCCAGTGAATCCCTGAAAATACTGAAGAGATTGTCTGCACAGAGCACAGCAACTGTGATTGGCA